GGCGGAAATAAACGGTACACCTAGTTTCTGACAATTCGTTGACCAAAAGAAACGATCTAGATCTCATATTTCTACCATAGATACTACTCGCAAGTGCCTAACTGTACGTCATATCATTGGTCTTAAACTTCAACAAATTGTTGAGAAACAAGGCGATGACTTCGGTTTCGTGCTTCTGTAAAGGGCACTGCTTTACAGTATCAACTTTTTCGTTTTTACAATGCACACCAGTGACCCAATTGGATAATTTTCGCAAGAGAGGAACGACACCTTCGTCACATGAGACAGAACAACAAAAAAAATCAAATTCTAAGATGTGTTTCCAGTTCACGTTTAAAATATGAGATAGAAGAAGAGGCGATAACTGAACGAGGAAGATTGTTCCAGTCTGAGCACGTTGATACTAAAAACCATAATTTGATTTTATCTTTCATGGAAGAAGCGATAGCCCATCCACACTTATTATCTCTCCTTGCTGGAGGGGGGGAACAAATAAGCGCCGAGTAACTTTATGGTTTTCTCGTTTGGAAGCAGTTGTTCACACAGAGTTAAGTTACCAAACGTATCCGGAGGTTTTTGCTTACGAAAAGGCATAAACACACGTTTTTCCACATTCAACTAGCAAAATTCTCTAAACACCAGTTTTCCATTATGTGCCTCATCCATTTTGGAATAATCGACTGACGGGGAATTTTTCTGCAAGGTCGTTTATGTAAACAAGGGACAACAGCGGATCAAGCACACTACCCTGAGGAACACCTGAAGATATTAATACAGGTGCCGACTTCTTGTTTACAACAACCAATTGCTTTCGGTCGGAGAGATAGGAAGCAAGCCAATCTATCAGCACTCCCCTTACACCTACCGTTGAAAGTTTGCTCAGCTGGTGGGGAATGCGATCAAACGCTTTGGCAAAGTCGAAAGCAATGCCTATAAATTTGTTTCTTCTAACAGCCTACTCAATTGAATAGCAGTATGATGTAAAGCATCTGCTGTTGAACGTTTTGACCAACCAAACTGTGCGTCAGAGAAAAATTTAGTAGATTTGAGCGAAGAGAATAATGATTTATGTAGAAGCATTACAAAGATTTTGCTAACATTAGAGAGAAGAGATTTACGGCCATATATCTCTAAAACTAAAGGGACTCCTTTTCTAAATAGATCAATATCGTGTACAACTCGTATACCTGAGGAAATGAGTCTTCTATAATTAGTGTGGTTTTAGTTTGTGAACTTGGTACAAAACGAAATAAATATGTTTTTGATCAGACGAGTTGATCAGAACGTTCTCGTTTCATATAGGAATACTCGGAAGACTACGGTGAATCGCTAACAACGATAAAGTTGATCGTTGACTTTCACGCAAAACTTTCTAAACACTGGTTTTTGTTACAGAAGAGAATGGGTTGAATTTTAGCTGATTACTGACTCACTAAAGTAGCCGCTATATAAGAAATTTTAACAAATTAGCTGAGAAAAACTGAGAAACCTAAAAACTTCCTGTCGAAATTAGAGCATGAGACTCTATATGAGGTCATATATTAACATCGTATCGTTCTTTTCCGTTCTCTTCTTTTATGCAGGAAACACATCTCTTATTCACTCTCCATCGTTTCTTGCTTTTCTTTTTCGTTTCTGTGAATAATCCCTACTATGAAGCAGCAATATTTATCTACAAAAGTCGAGAAAAAAGATAATATGCATGACAGGCGATCTATAATTCATGCACTTCAATCGCCTAATAAAAGCAACACATATGTCCTATTTCAGCAGCAGTAGTTTATCAAAGTATTATTCAACCAGAAAAGCAAGGGTTTGTCGACTCTTTTAATAGTAATCTCTTATCGGTTATAAATAGTCAACTTTCAGGAAAAGTATATAAATACAAACATACGACTGGAGAATGTATCATCAGAACCCATCACCTGAGGCAATCCCTGCTGCTCTGCTATCATCAACTGCAAAGTATGTAACTCGTTAGCACAAGTAGAGATTAAGTAATTAATATTGTAATTTTTTCCAGAAAAAATCGTAGATGGTTTTCCGCAGTTCCATTAATTGCCTTATGTGGTCTTGGGATATTGGGTTTGCTATTAGTAGCAACTATTGTTTTAGCCTTGATACCTGTGTATCTGCCAAAACGTGGAACAGTGGCCGTTAAAACTAATCACAGTAAGTCGAGATTACATATTTCTTATGATGGGTTGTAAAACCGTCAGCTGAAAAGCATGAAAACGCTTTCACGGTTTTCCTCTTCAAGCTTTTATTTTCCTTTGGCAAACTGTCAGTTCCTGATTTTATTTTTATAGTTTTGACCTTTACGATATTTTTTCATGATTTTAATTGTACAGTTCTTAAACTGGCGGTTTTATTTTAGGGTTTTTCTTCGATGGTTCGAAAGTGGACGGTTTTGTTTCTATGGTTTTAACCTTTACGGTTTTACGTCCATAGTTTTTCTTCTGTACTTTTGCATTTTATGGTTTTCATAATGTAGTTTGTTTACTTCATGGTTCTTCTACACGGTTTTCTTTCGGTGGTTATGGATTTTACGGTTTTTTTTTCACCGTGTACAGTTTTATCGGAATGGCAAAGTATAGGCTGAAAGACAAGAATGATTTCTGTCCTAAAAATGGTGTGTTTTCTACTGAGCACTTACAGTTTTTCGATAACCATAGAGTCGGCACCACCATCATTACTATGGATAACCAGGAAACACACAACCCCTCCCAACCTGTTCAAATTCTTAGTGGAGAATTGGGTGATCAAAAAGGGAAACGTAATATTCTACTTGTAGGAAGTTTATATTTGTATCCTGGGAAAAAGTCTGAAATAATAAGACTACCCTAGCGAAAAACTTACTCGAATCTTACTAAGATCTTAGAAAAATCTTATTAAGATAGTAAGATTTCGCTTATATTTGTCTAAGATCTTAAGCAAATTTTACTAAGATTGTGAGACCCGAAAATTCTAAGATTTGATAAGATTTTTCTAAGGTCTTAGACAAATATAAGCGAAATCTTACTAAGATTATACTGTCTAAGATTTTTTCAAGATTGGATAATAATCTATTAGGATCTTAATAGTAAGAACGACGATGTTTTTTAAATAATATTCATTAGAGATACGATGAAAAGTTTCCAGTTTTTAATCCGCATTATCCAAAGCAACAGTTGAACAGTGTTGAAAAATGAGAAGAAATTTCATATTTTCGGGTGTACAACTATGAACCTTGACCCGCATGTAAACTCTCTAAAAAGTTGTTGAACACTTTCAAGAGAGAAAGTACTAGTAGAGTGTGGGAGAAAAATAACCATAAAATCACTCATATTTTCGGTGTTACTTATATAGATGAATGAGAGCCAAATAAAGGGGTGAATAAAAGTAGAGCCATTAAATCTTATTAAGATTTTAAACGATAAGATCTTAGATTATCTTAGCAAAATCTTAAAGAATAAGATCTTAGTAAGATAATTTTAAGAAGTGTCTGAGATTTGTACTAGGGTAGTGTAATAGTGTTCTTCGAGGTCGTTCCAGGTTGTCCAACTTTATCATTATCCAAAGAAGTTTTTTCGTCTGCTAGATAATTCTAACACAGGTTTCACTTTTATTTGCTCAGGTTATTAAGTGAAAATTATTGTAACTCAGAAACAAATTTTCTTCAAACTTTAGCATTTGATTTAAATAGAGCTAACTTTACTCGGCGCATCTAGATGATGAAAATAATTCTGAGATAGGGTCTGAGTATCTGTAGTAAAAATTTCGACTCGATCGGACCATTTTTTCGAGGGGTCATAATGTGACTGGATGAAAACTGGGGTTTTCCAGGAAAACCATAGAAGATCATGTCACAAAACTCTGAGCAAAAATACTTCGATTTTCTTTTTCGCTCTTTTATCTCTGGTATAAATTTGAACTCGATCTGACGTGTGCATCGCATTTGGCAACAAGATCAAAAAAGGGGAGGAATACCCTTAAGAATTCCTGAGACTGCAAGAAAAAAATGTTTTTTATTTGACTTTCGAAATTTCAAAGAATCCAGGCAATATTTTAAGAACTGCCATGGAGAATAATTTGGAGCCGGACGTATTTTTGAATAACACATCTTCCTCCTCTGATCAAAAAAATGCAGTTTTCATTAGGAAAACTACCGAATTTTTTACTCGATTTTACTACGATCTATGAATTTTGCTTTCAAAAAAGACAGGAAGTTATTTATAACTTTTTACCTTATTTTCTGGCCCGTCAGTCAGATGGGGTGTAACGTTAATTACACGCGATACTAAAGTTTCCGGTCGAAATGACTTGCACATCTCTCAGCGCAATGGATGAAAGAAGTGAGGGTCGCAATACATTATTTATCTTTTAAATGGAAAAAAGGTGGAAATGCGAATTTTCTCTCCTATTCTGGAAATCAAGATACGCTTTTCGTCATAATTTTTTTAAACTTTCTTTAGCATCATCGGAATTTTATCTGGTATTTACAGTAATTAATGACCGAAGAAAACGGGAAATACGTGGAAAACGTCAGTATTCTGATGGTTCTCAAGCTAGTTTTTCAGACCAAGAAAAACAGCAGACGGCCAATCAGGTGAGTTACCGGACTAGAGATTGATTGTTAGAAAAGTTGAGTTAAGAGACATTGCACGAGTTCATCGAGCAGTTTGCTACAGCAGGCAAAACATGAAAAAATTTAACATCTCTATTTATGTTTTCATTCGATTCTCCGTCCAATTTTAGGGATACGAAAAAGTCTTTAAAAGGTTATATCCAAAAATGGCCGAGTTATAAAAGTTTTGCGAGAAGTACTCAAAAAACCGACGATAAATCAATTTTTCAGTATTTTGAGATTTTTTCTTTTCTCTTCTTCACTCTAAGATTTTGAAATGTATGAGTCGATAGAGCAATAACAGCTCTTCAAAATGAATTCATTTTCAGTTCTCTCAACCATAATTTGCTGTAGGATAGGATACTTTTGAATTTTGACTTTTTAGATCTTCGGAAAAAACTCATATTTCCGTTAAATATTTTCTGTTAAATCAGCATTAGAACGGACAAAATACTTCGCTATCACAGAAAGTTGGAGAACAGAGCAAAAATCATCTTATTTTAGGTGAGTATTTTGAATTTTCTCCCTCTCACACTTATTTTGAACAAAAACAAAGTTCTTAAAAACTTTTGTAAAATATGTGCAGTTGGGTGAAGATCTAAAAAGCTC